GCTTAAGATATGTTTGGTTTATGCGAAAAACAGTTTTATGTGATCAATAGGTGATAAGATAAGGATTTCAAAATTGATAATTATACTTTTAAAGGAGAGAAAGGATCTTATAGCGTTGCGATGGAATTTTGATATATATTCAAGATACTGTTTCTTATATTTTTTCAATTCAATTCACTTTATAAAAGCGATTTCGACATAGAATCCCAAAATATTGAAGCTGTTTTGTTACAGATTAATTTTTCACATTGTTAAATTTGTTATACAGGCCACCTAACAACAGTTAATCTAAAGTTGATTTTTATGAGCAGCAATTAGTAAATGCATAAACGACCTAAGGCAAATTATTTGAAACATACGTTTTTATTATTCAAGTTACTTAGTATGGAGTTATGGAACACTATTCCTTTAGAATTAAGAAACTGTACAAGTCTCAAATTACTTAAATCACATTTCAAACATTTATTATTGTCTTAAAAAATTAAAAGGTAATATACCTATACTATAATAATAATAATAATAATAATAATAATAATAATATCTTTATTTAAAGAAGGTTACACATTAAGAACATACAATAACAATCATATATATCTTATTTCCAATGTGGCCTTCTGAAATAGAAAACAACAACAACAACAACAACAGGATATGCATAGGTAGAAAAATGAATGTATAATATGTAATTTTTAAAATATTACAACTCATATATTTTCGACAGACACTCAACAATTTGTTTAAACATATACGTATATTGCATCATTCGTTCGTTCATATATTTATTCGTTCATTCACTCATTCATTCACTCATATGAACATCAAGATATGCTTTGTATTTTTCTTTAAAACATTTAAGGTTATTAGCATTACGAATATTTAAAGGTATATTGTTCCAAATGTTAATGCCATAATAAGAAAATGTGTCTTTAATATAATTTGTTTTAGGTCTTGTCCATAATACAATATCTTTTCGTGACCTAGATCTTAAGTTATATATTTTGTTGTCGGATAAAGTCATCAGTTCTGTCATATAAGTCGGTGCCATGTTATTTAAAGTTTTAAAAACAAGCACCGCCGTGTGGTATTTACATCTGTCAAGGAACGGTAACCAATTAAGAGTTTCGAATAGATTTATTGACGGAGATCTTTGAGGTTCCTGTAAAATGATTTTAGCAATTCGTTTTTGTAACTTACAAACATTATTTATGTAGTTTGTGTTTCCTTTACCCCATATAATACAACAATAGTCCATAATGGGCAATATATATGCATTGTAAAACAATAATTTCATATCAAAGTGCAAAAAATACGATATTTTTTTTCAATAAGGCAATTTTTCCGTTAAGTTTTCTACAAACATTGTCAATTTGCAAGTGCCATTTTAAGTTGTTATCTATGCAAATACCCAAGACTTTTTGATCAGTTTCATTTTCAAGAGCTATTTCATTTATCTTAAGAATTAATTTTCTCATAATATTTACTTTTTGTCTTGTTCCTATTACCATACATTTTGATTTATCTGGATTTAAGGCCATATTATTTATTTTGCACCATTTGTCAATGCTATTTAAATGATCTTGAAGTTTTTATTTCTACTTTTGATATATTTTCTCCGGACTCATAAAGAGTAGAATCATCTGCGTATAAATCAATTTTTATATCATTACCTATGAAAGCTATGTCATTTATGTATATTAGAAATAATAAAGGTCCTAATATTGAGCCTTGTGGAACACCGGAAATTATTTTCATTGACTGAGATTGAAGATTACCTATTTTAACCAGTTGTATTCTGTTAGAAAGATATGACTTAAAGAACTTAACGGCATTTTCAGAAAAATGATAAAGTTTAAGTTTATGCAAAAGTATTTCATGGTCAACCAAATCAAAGGCTTTCTTTAAGTCTAAGAATACAGTCCCGATAATTTTTCCACTGTCAACATCTTTTAACCAAGTATCTATTAAACTAATTAGTGCAGTATTAAATGAATGATTTTTACGAAATCCTGATTGTTTATTATGAATCATGTTCGTTTTTTCAAAGAATGAGTGTATTTGTTTGGCAATATGGCGCTCAAATATTTTGGATATAGTTGACAAAATTGATATCGGTCGATAGTTATTTGCTTCATTCTTATCCCCCGATTTGAAAATAGGTATAACTCGAGCTCTTTTTAAATCATCTGGGAAAATATTAGATTTAATACTATTATTGATAATTGATGCAATTATTGGTGTAATATAATCTCCACAATATTTGATGATGTTTGGTCCAATTCCATCTAATCCTGTAGATTTTTTAATATTCAGTTTTTCAATAATAAGTTTTACTTCAAACGGTGTAATTAATTCAATATTAAATTCATGATATATTAGCTTTTGGTTTAAAGTTTGTTTTAATTTTGAAAAATTTGTATTTGAAAACTTTGTTTTATGTATGACATTCGAGATATTGACAAAATACTTGTTTAATTCATTTATAATATTTACAGTTCCGTAAATTTCTTTATTACCTGTCACTAGTCTGTCTGGCATTGTAATACAACCTTTTTTATTTAGATTTGAAACGTCCTTTAAATTTTTCCATAAACATGCCGGGTCTTTGTTATTTTTAATAGCATTGTTAAAGAAATATCTTTTACTTTTTTTAATCATTGATGTTATCTTATTTCTGAGCAATTTGTATTGTTCATGTTTCCCTACTTTATGATAGTAATCGCGTTCATGTATAAGATATTTTATCTCATCAGTAAACCATTCCGGGCGGTGTTCACGTTTGATACGTTTTTCTTTTATTAGTGCATGCTTTTTCAAGATAGTATTTAAAATGGAGTAAAATAAGCTAAGATGTACTAAATGTTGTAATCGTAATAATATATCCATCGTTATGTTTATTGAAGGCCTTGTTGAAAGTAAGATTTTGCGTTATACATGTTATCTCTAATGCTTTGGTGTATTGTCTTAATAAGCTATTTTCGTAAAATAAAGACTTTATCATTAATATTATTAATATCTACGTAACAAATTATCGTTTGGACTTATGAATTCTTTCATTTTCTTAGGAAAACAATGCAGTGTAAGTTTACACATAAAAACATCACATTTTCATCCAATCACTTGATGTCCCTTTGAATCCTACGGTTCTCCCTTCACTTTTTCGGCCAATCACTGGTTATGTTACTCATTCGCTTTCAAACTCGTCGCGTGGCACAGATAGGTAACCAGGAAGTATAAAACCAGGAAGTATTAAATATCTAGTACGTTTTACAATTGCACAGTAACACAAATTCGACAAAGTGATCCCTCGGAAGCATTAATCACAACAAAATTACAAGAGAATTGCAGACTCAGTTTGATTGAGTCTGTACATGAGGGATAATGAATACATGCAACATCCCTCACGCCCCCTAGCACCGGCTTGAGCGGTACTCAATTCTCAACACTTAATAGTGCTGGCATCAATGATCCCGAAGGACCAGAAAAATATAACAACACTGAAGTGAAGTACGGGTCAACATTTTACAGCCGCCACACAGCACTTGACACCTGCTGTTGTGAAGTATAAAAATCTGGAAACAAAGTGATCCCTCGGAAGCATTAATCATAACAAAATTACAAGAGAATTGCAGACTCGGTTTGATTGAGTCTGTACATGAGGGATAATAAATATGTGCAACATCCCTCACGCCCCCTACCACCGGCTTGAGCGGTACTCAATTCTCAACACTTAAAAGTGCTGGCATCAATGATCCCGAAGGACCAGAAAAATATAACAACACTAAGGTGAAGTACGGGTTATAAGTCTTTAGTAACAATTACATTGTTTTACTGATTCCGTGAGAAAAAGGACCAATGATATTTTAAAGGTTTATTGATTACACGCCAATGTAAATTCTAAACAATACTGTAAAATACAGTACTGTACTTCATTGTACTGTACTTTTCTGTACTGTACTCAGTTTGGATTAATATATACGTTCAATTAATCTGATAAATGAAATATCATAAACAAAGTGTTATACCAGGTATTATGCCAAAAGACCATTCCTTTTGAATACTTTAAACTTATCTCACGTATTTATTTTGAAAAGGTTTGAATTGATATATGACACCTCTTTACCCACAGGCATTTGGATAAATTTATATGCAAGTTTCCTTTAAATAATTTTTACAAAATTACCATGATGCAGGGGCAACCGAACCACAGCTTGTTATTTGTTGTTAAGATGCTTGTTTGTTTCATTTTACGCCTTTTCCCAACAGTATTTCAGTCATATATGCGGGTAGTTTCCTAACCATCGTTCCTGGAGAGTTACACCAGTACTAGACTACCTTCCTCCGTGCTAAACTACCAAAGCATCTCCAGGGGATCGAACCCACGCCAGAGAGGTAACTAGATTATAGGTCATCGACTCTAACCCCTCGACCACGGAGGCGGTCTCATTGTTAAGATGCATACAAATATATATTGAAATTATTTTATGGTCTTGCTTTATCTAAAGTTTCAATTAAATGTAAACCCGCTACATTTTTGTTGCTGAAGACACAGAAAACTTTCTGTCTTTTATTTAGGTCTCTTATTTATCAACATCATGGGTTGGAGATATATGTAAGGACGTTTCTTTTGCATGTTTTGAATTCGCAAATTATAAGTCAGTTTATGAATGATTTTTGTGTCTATGCTATCATTCAAGTGGATTTGAATATACTTGGAAAAATATCTAAGAATATTAAAGAAGATAAAGAATAGAATAAGTTTCACTTAATCTTCTTAAGCATCACGTTAAATGCACGTATTTTAAATGATTGAAATACATTGTACTAGAAATAAGGTCGAAACCAAAAAAATTAAATCAAACACCTGTGTACAACATGATTTGTTTTTTATCATAATTCATTAATCTTGAAATACTGTTGCTTTATGCATATTTGGTGCAGAAATGGAAGAAGGGGGTTTCTTAGAGAATATTAGTGACTCTGAATTAGAGTTGGAGAGTTGGAAATTTTTAAATGTAAGAGGAAACGGAGAAGGAACATTGTGCAGTTATTCTCGTGATAAAACAAATTCTCACATGACTTTAAGATGGATCAAACCGGAGAGATATATTGGTGATACTATTGTTGAATTTGATGCATGTAGTTTTTCTACCTTAAGTGTTACCGGTGCAAATGAAGGTAATTTTGAATTGAGTCCTAATGATGAAAGTACATCTGGGGAAGATGAGGAAACATCTGAGGAATATGGAAGCTCTTTTCTAAGCGTTAAAGAGGCTAACAGTGACAATACTGAAAATACCGTTAGAGGACGAGATCAGGAAACTGTTACCATTTATGAGCGTAAGCCTACATTGACTCAATCAGATATAGATAATGAAATTCTTTGTGAATTTTGCGTTGAAATAAAAGCCACTCACTTTTGTAAACTATGTAAAGGAGATGGAATGCGTATGTGTCACAGGTGTTTAAGGTGCCATGCGAGGCTAACCAATCACCAGAGTGATGTGATGTCACTTTTAAGCAATACCGAAAGGTAAGTGTTGACATGTTTTATTATAATGTTCTTTTCTTCATAATGTTGAGTTTATAACTAAATTACGCTGAAAATATCTATAAAATAAGTACATGTAAACGTTTAATTGAAATAATTATTTTTTTGCTGGTTAAATGTACATGTATTTGTTTAAACATTGATACAGAATCGATGATTCATACATTTTGTATACACGCGTATACTTAACTTCATTTGCATATGCTAATCAAAGCACAGAAGGCGCTGAATTTGTTTTGGTCTCAGAATGTTAGAAAGGTGAAGGTTGTGAGATTATAAACCAATTTGTTTTTGATAGCCACCAATGCTTTCCAGCGTTTTAACTGTAGTAAATATTGGCTATAAGAGACTAATTGCAACACTGATAGTCAATTCAATGTTTATTTGACTTAAAAAATGAAAAAAAAGAGTTGCCTCAACTGGGATTTTAACTCCAGACCTCTCGCTTCATAAGCGAGCGTGCAAACCCCTCGGCCACGGTGAAGTTATATGTTAACGGCCTGAAGAATACCATATTATTCTTAATTAGGGTTTGTAACTCTTATGTTTTCGACGCTAAACCTGTTGTTTAACACAGATGTAAATAATCATGGAGCTTACTGTAAGCATGTATATCTATAAAAAATGAAACAATATTAGAAATCGTCGACCATTCGGGAACTACTTTGCTTGAAAATTAATGCGCCTGTCATTTGACAATCTTTACGCATTGATCTCCCCTGAATTTTTCGGCGTTAGTGTACATATAAAGGGAAGTAACCGCTTCAAAAAACTGGACTACTTTAGGCATTTGCAATTAACAGCATTATGCTCTGAAATTTCGCTACCATTATTTGTTTGGTCTGACGACCTAAACAAATAAAAACGGTTTGGGAAATAGAGGTTTTCACACTTTTATACATTGACACTTGTGACATCACGAGGAGGCGTTCTCTAAAAACACAAACACTTGACAGGTAAAAGTGGTCGTTTAATGAAAAGATTGATCTCAATTAGCTGACTAATTAGAGGTCGCCGGCCGCGTTGAGCAAACGTCGCTTAAAACATTAAAGATATAGAGAGAAAATGATCGGAGGGAATTTAAAGTGGTGGCATAAGACTAAAGTCGCTTAATTCTTTTTCTTTACTTGACATACTGTGTTTCAGTTTGAATTTAGTCCATGGTTGCAAAGAACGCAGATCACACGAAAGACCTCCAGATAAAGTAGTTGATAGGCAGCCATCACCACCCGTGTTAAAACTATCTAAATATTGTAGCAGATAAGGACACACATACTTGTATTGCGATTGATTTTACCCGAATGGCAAATGGCAATCTTTTGGATGCCGATTTTTCCAACAAATGTTTGAAAATATTTAACTTCGACAATTTACACCTGAAAAACGTATTTTACCTAGACGACCATCCGGTGTGTATCACGTGTTTCCCCAACAACACCGTAGCAGTAGCGTATATAAAGGTTCTATGTCTGGAAAAAATTGAGGAAAGTCATGAAAGATTGGCAATCTACAAGGAAATGGACAATTGCAATGGACTAAAGAGCGTTGGGGAATACCTATATTACTTAGGCGGCACCTCATGCACTGCCTCCATATACCACCAACAAGGCTCAAAAAACCTTTCACATGTAAGAACTATCGAATAACAACAATATGGCATCAATCATCCGGAACAAATTGATGTTGACCAATCTAGAAACACCATTTATATCACCGATGCAGCCCTATATGTGTATGCTTTAGATGTAAATGAAAAACTTCTTATGAGTATGCCATTATGTGAACAACATGATGTCTCTTCGGATACTGCTAGTAATGTGTATGTTTGTTATTTTAACTCAGACAAAGTTTTAAGAATCACTAAAAAAGCTTCCAGTTGCAAAACGTTCTTGCCAGACATTACTATCGCTGTACAGTGTTCGGTATATTTCGACCACAAAAGAAGGCGGATTTTCATCGGCATGTACAAGAATAACTTAATTTTATATATGATACGGTTTTAGTACTTTCACGCATACACATGCTCAAATATACTAGATGCAAATTAGAGAAAATATTTATGTTCAATTGCAAAGTGACATATCGTATTTTACATGAAAGGGATCAAGGGCCACCTATTAAAAACCATCAAAAGTGAAACTAGCACATTTGTATCCTTGAGATTTATTGGATAACGATAACCTTAACGTTTATTGATATACCTAGCTGGCTTATAAAGTATAGTTTTGACAGGTTACATTATGATATATATATATGAATGGTATTACAGACCTTCCATTATGAACAAATTCACTTGCAATGGACAAGTTATTTCACCAAAACTCTTCTGGAGCGAGTTTCATGTGTGTGTTTCCACTAACTCCTCGAAGGGGTTATTTCCCTTAATCATATAAGTGTCAATGACGAAGGATGAAGAGTTGATAAATGCGGGGGGATTGGTATTTCCGGTGGTGGCTACAAATAAACGTCATATAAAAAAATTATATGATTTATATATTTTAAAAAATTCAATAGTATTTTGTGCAAATACCGTGTTTTTGCTATAAAAATGCTCCATGTTCATGATAAGATTAAAACATTCATTCTTATAATTAAAAGCAGAAAAACTAAAAATGCATAAGATCATTCTAGGCATCGGTATTTATATGATACAAAATTGTTGCAAGCGGTTTTGCTTTTCCTAGGTATAAATAAAGTTGATTGAGACAGATAAACGTTTAAGTACCAAATGATAAACTGACCTCTACCTGGTTTTATGAGTGTCATATGGGTTTTTCAATATGAGTCTCATTACATATATGCATATTCAAATCTATTTTATATATTTCTTTGACAATTACTTTCGTAAACCCATAATTTTCCATTGTATTTCATGTATTGTTTCCATGTATTGTTTGCTAGAAATATATTACATGTTTTATTCAATAAATATAAGATAGTTAAAGTGCAATATAAAGACAGCATTGTAAATTAATATGAATTATACATGCGTGGATTATGGGTGGATTATGAAAATAATAATTAAAAAAAATGAAATAAAGTTTCAATATGAATCTTGGTATGATGACGGATATAGAAAGGAAAAAAATGTTAATAATACCGGTACTTGTTGTAAAAGGTGATCACAGATTAAAAACAATAAGCTAAATTTCGAAAAGAAACAATTAATATTATTTTCAATGTTTTGCAACAACAGGGAAAAAATTGTAATATTAATAGCACGTATTGTTTCCATGAAAAAAAGGAAAATATATATTTTGTTGACAGTTATTGTGTAGTGTGTACCTCTGTAAAACGGATAATACATATCTTTCGTTTAAACGCTAACTCCTTATATAAATAGATTTTTATGTCATAAGTGTACTGGTATTTTGTGGATATTGGAAAGAATATTTACCTTAGTTGTACAATCATTTAAACTATTCAGGATGTAACATTGGATAATTGTGTTTGACAAATTTGTGTATTTGTATGTGCATAATATCTCATTGTTTTTGATTCTGCTATTCTTAATATTGAAATTACTGTGCTTACTCATTGAAAATAATGGCAGAAGGAGGTGATCGTGGACAGCCTGGCGATTCTGATTTAAAAAGTATCTCGACATTAAGTGTAAGAGGGTCGGTTAGAGATGATGATGAAGAAACTATCAAAGATACAAGTTCTTATATGAGTTTCAGAGAAAATTTCGGTGAGGATCAAACTGGATCGGTGGTAAATAGTATTTCTACATTAAGTGTTACAGCGGGAAATGAGAGCACTACTGATTCCGGAAGTTCTTTCTTAAGCTTGCAAGAGGCTCAGAGTGACATTACAGAAAGTACTGTTAGGAGCCGCAGTCAAGAACGTAAGCCTGCAGTGAAACAGTTAGACTCGGAATTCATATTACACTCTAGATCCGGTGATGACGAATTACTTTGTGAATATTGCCTCCAAGATGAAGTGAGAACCAAAGCCACGCACTTCTGTGAACTTTGTGGTACCAATGGAAAGAAAATGTGCTACAAATGCTTAAGATACCATGCGAAGTTTTTAAGTCACCGAGACGTGACTTCACTTCTTACAAGTACAGAAGGGTGAGCACATATATACTCCTTATGGAGTTAGTTAAATTTAAAAATCGAGTTGTTGTTTTTTTCTGGTTTTTTTTTTTTTTTTTTTTTTTAAATATTTCTACTAGCACGTCAGAATGGCTCGTTGAAATGTAAGACTGTAAATAAATGGCGAAAACATCACATAATAGTAGTGCATTAATGAGAATGCAAATTATTTTCTATCATTTTCCGAAACCTTGACGGCTGAATTTGACGCCCCTGTAAAATATTAGGTCATTCGTTAGTGTTTAATTGTAACGCGCGTGATTTAACCATGAACATAGAATTAATAATAATTATGACGTCTTTTGACGATTTTAGCCTTCAAAAATGCGTGTCCTGAAGACGAATAACAAGCTTAAAAGACCAAGATTAATTCACAGCGAAACCGACAAATCAGCGACAGTTCATATGTCTGCCGACTATTTAGATAGAGGGTAACTGGTTTGTTGTTAACAGCATAACAGTTACCACAGAGTCGAATATCATTCTCTGTAAAAACAGATATCGCCGGCCTACTCAATGGTTAGTGAAAACAAGAGCAATGGGTTGGTTCGACAGAACGTTTATATTTACATGGTAAATACGCTCCTGTAATGACATACATAAACAATAATAAGACACGGAAAATACAAACAATTAACAATACAAATTCAGATCCACAAATAAATATAAGGCATTAAAGACAAACGTTTAGCTGTATATATATCAATAAATAACTACAAAAGGATGATAATAGTTTTAAAGCATAAATGGCTGTTAACATTTGTATTCAAAATATGGCGGATATCGATTACTCGATAGTGATTGACAGAGAGGAGGTTAATCGAAATAAATAAAGTAAAGAACGAAAGTATAAAGAGGTCCGACTACGCTAACTATAAACTACTACTACATTATAAACTATCTACTTTAGTTTGGTGTCCAAATTATTCCTTATTATTATGTAGTTATGAATATTTTATATTATTGTTATTAGTGTATGATTGTTATTAATGTAGATACGTGTATATAATCATGTAGATAAGGTACTTTTATAAATAGTGTATGTTTAGTTTGTGTAAGCGTGTATATATCATTTATGTGTATAATGCGTTTATCAAATAATTCCACCCTATGACACGGACAATGTATGAGTCTTTATCGCAATGTACATATACATTGGTAAATCGTATTCTGATAGAAAATAACAAAATTAATACTTATATAGGATTTACTCTTATAGTAGCGTTTAAATAAAACTTATTTTACGTGTGGTTTAGGATGAGATTTTCTAGCACTTGTGCAAACTCTAGAAAATCAAATCCATGCGTGATTACATTTCAGTCTAAAATGAAAAAAGACATCTGTGCTTGTGTGATCATTCAAATCACACGAAGCTTAAGAACCGAAAATGACGTTGAGATGAGCTACATTTGGTCGAAACCGGTATCGTTTATTTTAAACGTCATCATTATCCAATCGAAATTAGCCTAGAAAACCGTAGCCTCCTTTCTTCAGCATTTCAAATGTGTTGTGTTATCGTTGATTTTGTTCAGTTTATAAAGTCTTCTATGCTATTTGTGGTATATTCCTTATCCGTAGTCCTAGACATTAAGTTCTGAAGAATACACACGAATTGATAACAAGCTGTTAAGTCATCAGATGTCACATTAGATTTACGCAGATGCAATAAATACACTTAAAATAAAATATGAGTGAACAAACTATACATGCTTTGAAATGGGTCCTTTCAAAATCCAAAGAACTGTGCGTAAAATTAGCCCACCAGTAGGAAAATAATTCTCTTATCCATTATGTATTATGGACCTTTACAATATTGTCTTTGATGTGAAAATATAGCCATTCCTTTTTATAAATTGCTAGGTCAACTACTTACAAACAAAACATGCCGTCTTTTGTGTAAATCAGGTGCATTAGTAAAGATAGCCAGTCAGCCAATTTGCATAAAACAGTAAACAGTGGATAGGTCCAATTGAATTAAACAAGCAAAAAGTGTAACTGTTTAAAGGTTTCATTTTTGGAGCTATACCGTAGAAATAAATAGCATGAGCCCCAAAGGAAAGCAATGAGGTTGTCAAGCATATTTTATATATTCAAGTTACTATAAATGTGTCCATAGGACACATTCCACTGTTTTGTAACTCTACTGACTCTAGGTCAAAACTGTTGGGGGCTACACGTGACCAATGTTGAAAACAGAAAATCTTTTACTTAGTCAATGACAAAAACTCTACAAATGCTGAATAATTTTACAAGCAAACCCTAAGGTGCATAACTACACATGCTGCCCAACATTCTTGTATATTTTCAGGACTACAGGTCAAATACTTTTTGAGCTATGCATGAACATGTTTGTCAAGGGCAATAACTCTATCAAAACTGAAAAAAATCCATATGGAAAAGACAAGGGGCACAGCTTCAAAGTGATGTTGATCATCATTCCTGTAATGTTGGTTGATTTTAACTCAAGCACTCAAGGTACACATAACACAACAGTTTTGCATGTATGGTTTGTGATAAGTCATTGCAATTACTCTACAAATACTGAAAACATCTACAAACAAACCACCAGGTGCACAACTACGTACATATGCTGACCAACATTTCTATAAAGTTTCATGACTCTAGGTCAAATGATTTAGAGATATACACGACACAAGTTAAAAATTGAAAAAAAAATACTTCGTCAAGGGCAATAACTCTACAAATCCTGAATAAATCCACAAACAAACCACCAGGTGCACAACTACATATGCAGACCACCATTCCTATGACGTTTAATGACTCTAGGTCAAACACGTTTTAGCTACTCGCCACACAAGTTAAAAATTACTTTTACTAATTCAAGGTCCATAACTCTGACATAACAAATAAAATTATCAAGCGAAGCCCTAGGCGCACAACTTCACATGCTTAACAACATTTATGCGAAGTTTCATGGCCCTAGGTCAAATATTTTTGAGCCATGTGCGACACAACATGAAAACGGACGGACGGACAAGGTTAAATCTAAATCCCCCATAGGTGGGGCACAAAACCTTTTTTGTAACTGTGGGGCAATGTTTTAACTGTTTTATTCCCTAATAAACAATTGCATCAGTATGTAGGCCGGCGCCGTAGTAAAATTACTGGATATGACTATAGCAAGGTACGAGATTGCGCTATATTTTTAACCCAAATATCTTATTGAAACTCTAATGAATTGTATAGGTTGGTGTTAAACCGACACAATCATATTGTTGGCATTTCTCCAAACCGGCGTGTTACCTTATGAAAAGGATATTGCATGCACAATTGTAGTAAAAAAATTAACAAAACACAAAAATCAATATTGTAACCAGATCATTATTCTCACGAATTATCTAGTAAAGGAAATACACAGCCGTTTGTGCACATCTATATTAAAAATTATATAAATTATCATAAATTCTTTTCCTCGAGCAAAAATTATTAAAGAAAAGAAATAATGGAACAAAATGAATAATCCTTTTATCTTGGTGACAAGAACTCATGCTTAGAATATCCTTAATAAAAAGCTATTACCAGCTGCTATTAAAATTCATTTTCATAGCTACTATATACAACAACAAGTTAAATATTTATACACCGGCAGTAGAATTTTTGATAAAGTCAGTACATCAGAATGGTCACTTCTGTTTAGTGGCATAAATGAAAATACTACTATGTAATAAGCCAAAAATGTTAGGAAAAATGGTGAAATATATGTCTCCTTTAAACATTAACTCTTATTACTTATATGGGAAGTAAGAAAAGGAAGAATATATTTAGTAAAGATACATATAAACTTTAACAATTAAAAAACAAAAAAAAGAAGAATAAAGGAAGGAATCACAAACAACACAAATATTACTGGCAAAGATTCAAATCCATTCGTAATGAAGCAATATTATTGATACGGGAAGCCAAGTCAAACTATTTTTGTAAACTCTCAAATAAACTGAAAAATGATTCACTTTCGTCTAAAGACTGGTGGAAGACTCTGAAATCGTTTATTTCATCAATAAATAATAGTGGCATTCGACCACTGACAGATCCCTTAAACAGAAATATTGTTTACACAAATAACGATAAGGCAAATGTTCTGAATAACTTCTTCGTAGAACAAATGTCTATTAACGATGACAACAGAGATCCACCTTGCCTTAGTTCACCACATTCCTGTCTCAACGATATTGTGCTTATCCCTCATGAAGTAAAAGTTGTTCTTCTTTCGTTACAAATTGACAAAGCAGTAGGTCCAGATGGTATTAGTAATATGATTTTACTATCTTTCTCTTTGTGTGACTTATTCAATGCTTCTCTACGATGTTGTGAAGTTCCAGTCACATGGAAAGAGGCAAACGTCACTGCAGTTCACAAAAAGTCCCATATAACTACAGACCTATATCACTTTTGAACACTACAGAAAAAGTATTTGAGCGGCTTGTATTTATACACATTTTTAACTTTCTTAAAGTAAATAATTTTCTGTCTACTGCTCAGTCTGGTTTTATCCCTGGCGATTCTACAGTTCATCAGCTGGCCTTGATACTTTTTGTGGATCACTTGACAATGGCCTTGAAGTTCGTGTGGTTTTTTTTTTGATATCAGTAAAGCGTTTGACAAGGTTTGGCATAAATGCCTCCTTTTAAAACTTAAGCACGCAGTTATATCTGGATCTTTGAAATCTTGGTTCAATAGTTACCTTACTGATAGAAAACAAAGGGGCATACTACCTGGCGCCTACTTGTCAAAGCAGGAGGCCCTCAAGGCCCTATACTTGGTCCCCTATTATTTTTGATCTTTATAAATGATATTGTTAATAAAATCGAATCTTTCATAAACCTCTTTGCTGATGATACCAGTCTTTATGTTATAGTTGAACATCCTAACACAGCAGCCACACTTCTTCAGTCTGACATCCATAAAATCTCTTTAAGGGCAGAAAGGTGGTTAGTCACCTTCAATCCTTCAAAATC